CTGATTATCAAATATGTTTTGTAACTAGGATCAGCCTTCTGAGTTCACAATGATTTGATTAACTTATATTGAGTATACAAATGCACATGAGCATTTGCAGATCTTTGCATATTGAATGTCTTAAATCTAGGCTAAAATCACTTGTTTTCTCCAGCTGTCTATGTGTTTGAAGTATGTCAATATTTTGTCACTGTCTTTGTGTAAGTTGTCAGTGTCTGTACTTTTTTTATTTTAATGTGTAAGACACTTTGATCAACCGCTGGTTGTTTATAAGGCCTGCAATGCAAATAAACTGATTTGACTTGTACTCACTCTCTTTGCGGGTGATGTCCACAGCCAGCACTGTGACAGAGATGTTGTCCTTATTGGATCGCATATCCTTCAGGACAACAGAGTTCAACTCTCTTTTAAAGTCACCCAGGTAATCAGATTTAAAACCTTTTGAAAGAAAACAGTGTATGAGTTACAATTAAATGACTTTATCCTCTGAACAGCTGAGATCATTCAGAAAAGTTACATGCTCAAAACAGAAATGTGCTCTACTGAGAAAACTTTTAACAGTTACTAATTGAAAGCTATTGTACTGACCAAAATATAAATATAAATATTAAAAATCACTGACTATGTATTGACAAAATTGTTACAAGTACTCACCACTTGGTGCAGGAACATAGAAGTAAGGTGCAAAACCGTGGACGTGGCAACACACACTGTTGCCACTGTCTGTCACCCCAAACATTCGAATGATGGGGACTTTCCCCTGCGACTGACCAGGCATGCCAGCCACCGTCGTCCCTGCATTACAAAAAAGAGGAAACAAACTAAGATACCATTTCCTCTCACATACAGCAATGATATTTGAGCACGTGGATATGTTCTACACTGTCATTTAGACTGAAACAATAAGGAAGCCGAGATAACTAGAAAATATCTTGATCCTGGCTTCAACAAAAGTCTCCTGATAATTACCTAAATAATAGTCCAGATCAATCTGCTGAAACACCAAAGTTTCAGATGATGGGTTCAGTGTAGGAGCGGGAGGCCGCCGCCAACGAGGGTTAAGGTCTGCTGAGAAGAGGTCACCTGAAGAAACAAGGTCATGAGACAGAAGTACAAAGTGTATCATTTCAGATCTAAGTGGATATAGCCAAGAGCTGTTCAAGTACAATCACAAATTGAACAAACCCAGTACGGGTGATTTCTTGAAATGATAGACAACTAGTTCCACTGTTGCCACTTACTGTTAGCACACAGTTGCATTATTTACAAAGCAAAGCTATTTATCCATACATTAGTTATACCTGTTTATCCTTGAGGGTCATGGCGAAGCTGACAAGCTAAGCATGCTTTATATACTCAAGGCATGACTGGATTACCAATCTGGAATAAATTGTTAGAGCTACCAGTCAAACTTACCTAAAATCATGCTGTAAAATAAACATGAGTATTATTCTAAAGGTTGCTAGGTTCTGCAGAAAAACTATGTGCAGTTGTGCTTGTTAAAGAAAATTATCTGTGTGTGACATAGCCTTTACATAAGTCAACAGTTCTAATACAGGTCTGCATGTAATTTGCATAACTCAACGCCGTCTGGTAACTCTTTTTACTTCTGCCACCTATGACTTTGTGCTCTTTTGTTACACTCACCTACGGGAATAACATCATGGCCGGCCTGCCCCTCCATCTCCTCTGCCTCCATCTCCGCATCCTCAAACATGGACAACTCCTCTTCAAACTGCGATGGACTGTCCTCCCATTCACCAGCCATCTTACCCCGTTTGGCCTGGGACGCACTGCCCGTGAAAGGGCCACCATTGCGTCTTTTAAAATCCATGCTTGCAGGAAACATTGGAGGCAGAAGTCAAATTAGATCATGATAGCAGTTAACAAATATATTCAGAATGAGGTTGAATCATCAAAACAACACATACTTATTCTATTAGGCTAAGAGTTTATTAGCACTTCTAAGGGGAGCTGACATTTTGACACACAACCAAGACATTACTATACATATTAAAGGTTAAATGGGACAGAAAACATACAGCTGTTGGATTACTGCCTGTGTTAGTATTCCTTGCACCGTACATTTGGCATGTAGTGCATATGTTTTGAAACTGTGTGGACTATGCTGGGCTTACTGCGAAAAATAGGTGAAAGAAATACAGTGCTGCTGCCTGTGATGCAGTGACGTTGTACAGTGCTGGTGTCTTTCACTTGATGCAATGCATTGTAATAACAAGATGAAGGGCACCATAACCTGCATAACAGGATAAGCATAGACACAGTTCAAACAGGAAGTAATCATAGGTACTGATACCTGATAGTGTTACATTAAATAATGCTTTGGGATGCCATGTAGTTGATAACAAGCACCAACAACTGAGAGACAACCTGCCACACTGCACATAACGTAGCCCATTAGCAAGTACCTAGCATGATTGTTGCTGTAACGTTATCCCTCACACTTTACACAACACATTATAGAGTTGGTATAACAACCAGCTTTGGTGACTGTAACTGGTTAGCTAAGATTACACTGCAAACTTCTCAGTGCTATCTCAGTTAAGTGGACACGTTTAATGTAGCGTATGCACGCGCCATTGCTGTACCTTCACATACGCATAATACAGCGTTATATTAGCACTAGCATTGCAGCGGTAAAGTTTGTGTCGAGTTATTTTTTCCTCAAACTACGGAGGCTGTTTTCTGTTGTGACGTCCTAAGACAATAAGCTAGCAAGCGCCAGTGTAAACACAGAACAGTCTCGCGCCGACGCCGATCTTAGCAAACCGTCGGACGGATCTCACTGCGAAACTTGTCAAGGCAACTATCAAACGGCTGCTGCGTTTCTATCAAAGTTATAAATACCTATCAGAGTTACGTCTCCACAACAGCCCCCGGGTTGACAACAGCTCCCGCCAATCTGCTTCAATTTGTGAACTTTCACCGACGAAAGCGCGGAAAATTTCCGTTTTGTAACAAAGCCCAATAGTGAAGGAAGGGGCAGTGACGACACTGACGGGGCGGAAACTCGGTGGTACTAAACACGGAAGTGGAACGCGGCTTGACCATACCCAGTCGACAAGAAAAACCGTGTGTACCCGGCAAAATGACGTCAGCGTGTACGCAACAAGGAAGGAGGGAAAACGACTCAACAGCTAAGGAAAAGAATCTTTTTTTTTTTTTTTTTTAATTTATGTTAACTATAAAAAAAGAATAAAAGTTTGCCCCACAAAAAACTTAATGTATTTTTTATTTTATTTAGGGTATGAAATTAAACACTTAGCGCACGTAAGAAGGAGGTAAACAGTGCAAAAAAAAAACTTAAATTATGTTTTAGGTGTGCCTTCAATACCCCCTTATGATTACTTTGAGTTGTTTTATTTTACAGTGTGATAAGTAGGCTATATTCCCGTACTTCTAATGTATATGTGTTATGCTATCTGGAACATTTTGTCTGTCCTTCTTACATAAATTCAATGTGAAGTTACATCACCACTATATGGGACTGGATTAAATGATAATGCAGTAGGCTTATATGTATACTGTGCTTTGTGTTGCACACACATGACTGCAGCCCTCTAAAAGTCAAATATTAGTCAATGAATCGATTAGTCAGTCTACAGATAACTAACTGGCAACTGTTCTGATGATGGATTTATTTGTTTATATCATTCTTTGCTCCTTGTCTAGTCTTAAATGATAGCAAATTCAATACCTTCAGGTATGATTTGGACAAACAAGACATTTGATGACATGACTTTGGGCTTTAGGAAATTTTGTATTATGCTTTCTGGTGTTTTATTGATCATAACACAAGATAACAATCAGCAGATCAAGAAAGTAAGTCCTGTGTAGTTCAGCATTCATAAGAGGAACTTATGATCTGGTATCATCGTTATTCACTTTCATTCCAACTAAATTTGGTAAATCTCTAGGCGGATTATGACTCAATGGGCCCCTGGGCCCAGACGCATTAATGGCCTCCCTACTCCCACTCACTTGAAATGTATAATGATTGTTTCCTTCTTGTAACATCTCCAAAGTAAATGTTTAGGCTTTACTTAAGTTTTTCTTTTTTTTAAGGTCATTTGGGCTCAGTTATTGATGTGATGACTAAGCCCTTTTTACATGACATGCAAAGTTAATAACTTCATGCAGAGGCTCTGGCTTAGGGGCCACCTGTGCCCTTAGGCCTCTGTGCTGGGCTCAACAGACTTGTTCAGTGATATATTCATGGGTAAATCCCCAAAAATGTAGAGAGTAGGGTTTTTTAACGAAAACACCGGCATGCTGATGCATTCATAGCTATGATGATCATGCGATCTTGTCATATTTATCAGTGCAATCACCACTGTGTGTCTGTACTTGTCTCTGAGAGTTGTTGGTGCTGTCACCCCCTCCAGACACACATAAATACACACACTTAGAGGTCAGAGGTCACGCCTGCTGGTAGAAGGACACAGCCATGCCTAGTGACACCTCAGCTGTGCAGATCTTTACTGACCCTCTGACTTTAGGGCCCTGTGATTTTCAGCTGCTTCACCAATATAGATCATGTGGTCTGGCCTATCAAGGGTGGTGGGGTTAGACAGATGGCAGCCAGTGGAAAGGGTTAGTAGATCACAGAGATATGCAGAGGGGTTGGGTGTCTTAATGTCACTAGTCACGCTGTATTCTCCAAACTATGCTCTCAATGACCCTTAGAAGCCATTATAAATAACTCGCTTGCGCTTCTCCCTCCTCACTGGAAAAAAAGTTGCCTGGTTTCCCATGACTCCCCTCTTTTGTATGGATGAAAAGATAATTCACCAACCACCGCAACTGTCAAGCCTTTGCTCAGCCAATTGCGTCTCTCAGCTAAGGAAAACGCCCAGTTCCCGTCAGATCGTGCTCAGAGGCGGAGACAAAGAGGAGACTGACGCCAATAGGAGTGAAGCTCATGAATAATGTGACAGTAGAGACACCGCATTCACCAACCCAGCCTTCTTCCTGCATCGCAGGCCGTGGACGTCCTGTCCCTCCATCTGTCAGTGAACGCATCAAACCAATGTGAAACGCTGGCATTTAACTAAAGCTGCCGCCCCCTTTTCCTCACTCTCCGCTGGTTGCATTTCTTGGATTGACTGCGACAGCTGCCGATGTGTTGTTCATCTTCGTGAAGTTGGGACAAAACCAAAAGAGTGAGTAGAAATATGTATTTTTATATTTTCCGCAATGACAACAGTTGATACTTCCTCAACAGGCGGGGGCGCGCATCAGGACGCTGTGTCCTCTGCGCGCGCCCGCGGCTGCAGTAGGTGCCTGATGTCACGTTCGTTCCACAACTCATGAGAAACAAAGACGGTACATACAGCAACATGCATGTTCACAGCTGGGAGCTCTGCAGTTGGTTTTATGACACTGTTGTTATCACCTGTCGTCTTCGGACGAGCAGGTCGAGGCTTACGTGCGGTGTGTGCTCCATTGCCCGATATGGGAAATATTTGGGTGAGAGCCTGATTTGGGTCTTGTCCTCTCCCAGACCTGTAGGCCCACTGGACAGTTCAAATCAAAGTATCCGTGAAATAGTATTGCATTGACAAGGGCATGATGGTGATTATTGTGATTGCATGCTCATGTGAGTGTCAGTAGTCCATTATAAAGCATCCATAAAGTGGTGTCCCAGGCAGGTGAGGGTTCCCAAGTAGAGCCAGAGGAATCCCAGCGGGGGCCAAAGAAAAGAGCAGCAGTTCAGTTTCATCACTATGGTATTTACTCTAAGTCTGTGTAAGGATGGTTGTTTGGTCATATGTTTGATGCTCCCTCAGTCACACTGTAAAACTCTTCTCCAAACTCTTATTTTAAAGGTTCAGTGTGCCGGAATTTGGGGCATCTATTGGCAGAAATAGTATATACCATTCATAACTATGTTTTCATTTGTGTATAATCACTTGGATCTAAGAATAATGGTGTTTTTCTTTCCTTTGAATGAGCCTTTTATATCTACATATAGAGGAGGTCCTTTTCCATGGTGTTCACCATGTTCTTTAGTAGCCCAAAACAGATAAATCAAAAACTGGCTCTAGATTAAAGGGTGACACAGGAGTGTACGTTCACTCTGGTCTCATTCCACTCCAACAAAAAAACTGTATCCCATCCCAATCTCATGACAGAGTTTCAGTCAACTGTACAGTAGCACAATGCTGTATCTTTTTTTTTTTATATTTTGATTTTCATTTTTCAATTCGTACTTTGCCTTCAATCTTATTTCCTCCCACTATGTTCACTGGATGCATGGAACACTAAGGCAAATTCCTTGTAAGTGAAATCCTTCTTGGTAATAAAACCTACTCTGATTTTAACTGCAACAACCATTTGGCAAATTACTAGTGCTTATTCTGTTAGCTTAATGCTAACACACCATGGAAATTACCATTAACATGCTAATGGAAATAAGCATCACAATTGCAATAATATTATCTTAAGAAATAATTGATTTTACTCAACATACTTACCATTAAACGACATGTGTGCTCATACTTACAGGGACATATTTCCTGTGCTTTATGAAAATGAACTGATAGCTGCTGACTAATTTAACATTGCTTGCTCAATACAGTATTGTTAGTATGATTCACAACCCGCCTTTTTCTGTTGAGTTTTTTTCCCTATCCTGTCCCAGGCACATGATGAATATTGAAATTGACCCCCATGCTGTGGGAATCGCGTGACCCACAGGATTAGCAAAAAAAAGGCAGCCCTTTACTCTAGATAGAGCCATTCGTGTTTTCCTGTTGGGCACCATAGTTCTCCCACATGCTTGGCACATGGAAGAAGCCTCAGTTCTGCAACCTCACAACTAGATGCTACTTACACCCTGGACCTTTAAAGTCCCCCTCCCTCAAAAACGTGTTTTGCTTATCATTACTTCACTTGGATGTTTTAGCTTTACTTTGCACAATGTGCTGTTTGCATTTTCATAGATTCTGGATATTTCAATGAGGAAGAAGAAATAGATGTAATCTGAAGGATTATAAACATGGTAACTGAACTTATTTTGTGGGGGAATAGCATGTCAGACACAAATAACAATTCCAAGCAGAGTATTTTTACTCTGTTTTCTCAATAAACACGTCTGGAGGGAGTCTGGAAGTTCTATTTAAGGTGGTTGGGTGTGAATATCTAAATGTAGATGAAGGAAAGTATACTTGAGGACATGTTTGGCATCAAATTTGTTGTGGTTTATCTGGGCTTTTATCAGGCTGACTGTAACTAACTGTCAGTCAATAAACTCTCCTTTGTCTACTGCTATCAGTTGCAATCCTGCATAATCACGTAAGAATTTAAAACACAGATGAAATTTCTGGTGAGCAGTGTAAAAAGCAAAGTTGTGAACGGGTTTGTAGGACAGGTGGAAGAGCATGTCCCCGCTGTCTATATGTAAACCAGTGTTAGTGCACTGGTTTGTTTTAGCAGTTTGCTACATGTCCCAACATCACCTGATTGCAGCATTTCATAGTAGTATATCAACACGTGTCGCAAGTGTGAATGGCTGGATCAAGTTAATACCTGATCCAAGCCCTTGTCTTTGCTTTCGTGCACCCTTTCTCATGCCACTCCCCAATTTGGTCAGGAGGTTGCACCATATCTGCAAAACAGGACTCAACACAAAGTTGTATTTTTAGTGCATCTCACACTTAGTCAGCGGGAATGCAGTCCTCACTTAATTGTGCCTTTAAAACTGCTCCATTGCTAATAAGAAGACAGACAATTAAACTTCTTCTGTTGCAGAAGGATGCACTGACTGAGGTCATGACTTTTACAGTGCATGTCAGTTTAAATTTCACAGAGCCAACTTGTAGTTTTTGTATACAAATAGACATGCAGTATGTGATGTGCATGATTGTACACGTGTGTTGTGTAATTAGAAGTAGTGGTGGTTGGCAGAAGAAGCCCATTGAGCCCATCTCAGATTAGTCACAGCATAGTAGATACACAGCCCACACATGCATTGGATCCCTATCACTCAATGTACCACCTCAGTGTTGTGTGTTTGCACAAGGTGTCCTGTAAAACAGCCAAAGGTTAAGCTAATTAAGTTACCAGATAAATAAAAATGTTTGAAACACACAGTATATTCCAAAGGCCGAATTTTAAAAGAACCCGAGGAAGGTTGTCTATAAAAATATGTAACAATAGTGTAATGTAAGAGTGTTGTGAAACAGGATGTGTGGTTGGATAGCAAGAATGGTGACATACTTTCAGGTGCGTGGGGCAACGTTAGCCAAGAGAAAGTTACGCTGAATAAAAAAAATGTGTCATTTACTCGTGATGATTACCCAATACTGTTTTCCAGGGAAACTTAACAGTGATGCATTTTGAAATAACTAAAATCCTTCCGTTTCTGCCATCACAGGCAACTGGTTTAAAGGGACAGTTCTGATTTTTTGAAGTGGGGTTGTATGAGGTGCTCGTCCATAGTCAGTGTTTTTATTACATACAGTAGATGTCAGTCAGCACATCCCTTTTGGAGGTATAGGCAGGAGTACCAACAAGGAAGCTGAGCAATGTATTGCTGTGGAGGGGGGTGGCAATATAATGTATTTTAACCGCCTAAAAATAGTCCCACCTACTGAAGAAATCAATATCATTTTAGGTCTATGCTATATTTAGAATATTTGTACTGCCTTACTTTGCAGCCAGACAGCAATTATGATGGGGAACTGAAGCCGTTATAGTGCTCTCTTCAAAGCCAGACTCCATTGAGAAAACCAGTGATTTAACACCACTGAACACAGGTGCTGCTGGTCTACTGCTGCCTCCATCAGTTAGTTTGCTTGTGTTATTGTATGACTTTGGTGTTAAAAAGCATTAGTTCAGATTCAATAAAGTCACATTGAAACAAACTAACTAACTGATTGAGGCAGCACTTGACAGCAGCTCTAATGTTCAGGTGCTCCCATCTCAGCTGAGTGTGTTCTGTGTTCTGTGTTCAAACAGCATGCCGCTGGCTCGCAGCCTCTCTGTCACGTCCCTGTCAGGACTGGAGGAGTGGGACGAGGAGTTTGAATTGGAAGATGCTATTCTTTTTGAAATTGCGTGGGAGGTTGCAAACAAAGGCAAGTGTGTGTTTACGTGTGTGTTTTTGGAATTTTCATCTGTGCATATCTTGCAGGTGTGTGAGGAAAAGTTGGAAGAACAAGTTTGTTGTTTAAAAAAATATGTCACTCACTAAACTTAGTTTTTGTCATCGCTAAACTACTTTTTGTTGTTTGTTTGTTTTCAAGTTGCAAAAGAGACCTGTCATCATATGCCCCATATATATCAGGTTGAATCACATTATATCTTTGTCTCGATTTTATGTGCGTACGTGTGGCATGTTTGCTGCATGTGTGAAGTTGGAGGCATCTATACCGTCATCCAGACCAAAGCCCGTCTGACCTCAGAGGAATGGGGGGAGAACTATTTCCTGGTGGGTCCCTACGTAGAGAGCAACGTGCGCACACAGGTGGAGTTGATCGAGCCCACCAACCCCGTGCTGAAGAGAACCATTGACAAGATGAACTCCAGTGGGTGTAAGGTAATACCACACGTACACAGTGAACACATACCTCTCTGAGTTAAATCTGTAGGTTCCTCTTAAGGACAGTCGTTCTGACAACACATAGCTAAAAGGATTATGTGGTGAATATGCTCTATGCTTGAAAATAAGTTAGAGCTAATCATTAGCCCCTCTTTCATGTCCGACCCACCCGCACATCTGTAAACCCAGTGACATTTCCTCACAAAGGTTAGAGGCTGTATCGTGTCTCTCCGTCTCTCTTTCAAAAACACACTCCAGAAATAGATGACTGTGTGTGTGTGTGTGTGTGTGTGTGTGTGTGTGTGTGTGTGTGTGTGTGTGTGTGAGATACCTTTAAATCTTTGTGCTGTGTCACTGTGGGAGTGCTGTGGAATTATGGGTCAAGGCTAGAAGTGGTAGTGGGACTCTTTTAAAGTGATAGCACAGCCTTTTCAAACGAACCTATCTGGTTTACCTTGAATCAGGTGACATTTAGGCTCAGGACAGACCAGCACGAGAGCTCAGTTAGTTTGGTTTAAAATGTTTTTTTCTTATCACCAGTGTCGGAATAAAATCCTGAGAGTTTAATCTCAGTTGGTTCGACCCTGTGATCTCGACTGTTTAGTGTAAGGTGGTCATAAAACTGTCTTTGTCAGTCTTTCTCTCATCCTTTCATTGTGACTAAATCAAATATGTTTAATATTATTGAAAGTTTTTAGTCTTGGCTCATAAAATACTGAAGTTCAATGATATGCACATTGTCAACAGCCAACAGCTGCACTCTCTCTAGCACCAAACAGGATGCAGCAAACTAGGTAGATGGTAAACATGGAGGGGACTCCAGGGAGGTGAAAGAACATGGTTCTCGGGTCCTGTGGAAACTGCTAGGGTCAGTGTTTAATTCTGCATGTGTCTGTTTAACCAACCGACACTTATTTTAGTGAAATTTTCATTTTTGAAATGGTTTGCCTCTCATGCCTTTCCATGGTCTTCTCCCACGAAAATAGTGGAGCTAACCAATGGAGGCTGGTTGCGAGTTGACACAACTAAATCCAATTTTTTTTTACACAAAATCAGTTTATCTTTATGAATTATTTGCTGCCAACATATGATGGCTTTTATCTTATGTTTCTAGAGTTATGGGTTTTTGGAATTATTAATATGTCATATTTCCTAAAGGGAGTTTGGCATAATGTTTTCCACCAGGATCAGGATGGGAAATAATCTCCAAAGGAATCTAGTTGTAGTTTTGCAAATCGTGATCCTGCAAGATCCCCAGTCTTTTCAAAATCTTATAGTATGTGAATAAAAACTTACATTGTCTTTTGATGTGAGAGGATGTCAGTCTTTTAAAAGTATTTCCAAAGTCTTTTCATGTAATGTAGGCAGTAGTCATAATTGAAGTTTGAAGAGACATTCTTTGATTTGGATTCTGTGTCAGGAAGTCAAATCTCATCAAGGTTAACCTTGAATGATTTGGTTGGAATATGTTTTTGATAGTGAGATGAGTGTCTTGCAAATAAAGTAGTATTAGATAAGAGACACAAGGTCGAACCCCTTTATCTACATGTTGAAAAAAAACATGGAAATAAAAGGAAATAACTGATTAATGCATGTAATAAAAAAAATAGAACTTGCAGTTGCAGCTGCAACTCTTCATGTCAAAATGAATATGTTTCCTAAGATTTGAGTTGTTTATATTGTGTTTGCCTTAAAATGATGATTCTGCAAGTGATTAACCACAAATCATATAATTTTGTCACTAAATTAAATAAAAATTGTAAAAAGGAGAAACTATGCCCTCATACATCGGTGGTGTTTGAGATTAGGGCTGCAAGTAACAATTATTTTTATTGTTGATTAATCTGTAGATTATTTACTGGATAATCAATTAGTTGTTTGGTCTATAACATAGTGAAAAATGTTGATCAGTGTTTCCCAAAGCTCAACATAACATCCAGAAATGTCTTGTTTTGTCCACAACCCAAAGATAATTCAGCTTACTGTCATATAGGAGTTATGAAACTAGAAAATATTCACATTTAAGAAGCTGAAATCAGAGAATTTTGACTTAAACTGATTGATCAAGTATGAAATTAGTTGGAAATCACTTTCATAGTTGACAATTTCTTTGCAGCTCTTTCTGACATAAAGAACTACTCACCCTTTTGTCATTTCCTCGCAGGTCTACTTTGGGCGGTGGCTTATTGAGGGCAGTCCATATGTTGTTCTGATTGATGTGGGGTTCACCGCCTGGTCTCTGGACACCTGGAAGAGCGAGTTGTGGGAGTTATGCGACATTGGCGTGCCGTGGTTCGACCGCGAGGCCAACGATGCTGTGCTGTTTGGCTTCCTGACGGCCTGGCTCCTAGGAGAGGTCAGCAGTTCACACATCTTTATAAAGATTAAATATAAAATGTTTTAGCCATGTTGCGACAGAAGAAGAGGTTCAATACTGCATGTTTATGTGCAGAGAGAAGACGAATTACCGGTAGGTCCTTGAAAAGGTCTCATAATTGATATCTTAATAATCTGAAGGCTTGAAATGTAAAAATTGTGGGAGACACATGAAAAATAAGTTTAAATGCATGTTGGTGTATGTATGACTGTAATCCATATTCACCCTGTTTTCTCTTATATCGCAGTACGCAGCCCAGAGCGAGGAGCCTCCACACATCGTGGCCCATTTCCATGAGTGGTTGGCCGGTCTGGGCCTGGTGTTGTGTAGGCAGAGACAGCTGCCTGTTGCAACCATCTTCACCACTCATGCCACACTGCTGGGTCGATACCTGTGTGCTGGAAATGTGGACTTCTATAACAAACTTGCAGACGTACGTGTGTGCACATTTTACTACACAGGAATGTTATAAATGTAAAATAATAGAAAGAGGCCATTTAACAGTCTTTCTGTTGGTAAATTAGAAATGATTACACACATATTCAACAAGAATTCTTTATCATGCTCTCTCTCCTGTGTGTGTCTCATTCAGTTCAATGTGGATAAGGAAGCAGGCGATAGACAGATCTACCACCGCTACTGTTTGGAGCGGGCGGCTGCTCACTGTGCCCACGTCTTCACCACTGTGTCACAGATCACAGCTATTGAGGCTGAGCATCTGCTTAAGAGAAAACCAGGTGTGTGGCGGTGAATGGGAAAGTGCAATTCAGAGACTTCCTGTCCTTATTTGTCATTGGCTGGCAAGCAGGTCTTAATGTGTGAGGATATTATGCGTTTTTCACTGCTTTCATATTAAATGTTTTGATGAACATAATTAGCTACTCAGGTAGTTGGATATTTAACAAAAGTTTAACTTATTTATCTATCTCTCTGTGTATTTTTTTTTTTTTTACATTCAATGCCCTTTATCCCTCTTATCACGCACAGACATTGTTACTCCCAATGGGCTCAACGTGAAGAAGTTCTCAGCCGTGCATGAGTTTCAAAACCTCCACGCTCAGAGCAAGAATCGGATTCAGGAATTCGTCAGGGGACACTTCTACGGGTCGGACACCCCGCAACAGATATCACACACAAATTTAAGAGCTGAAATTGAAATTGGTTGTTTCACTGAGTTTTCTTACTGCTTACTCCTTTTTTATTGAATTAATTCTCTCTGATAAGAATGAGACGAATCAAATTCTGAAGAACATAGTTTTAAAACATGTGCATGCATGTGCCACACTTATGTAGCTCTTGTGACAGGCTTTGGTTTGTGTTTGATCAGGCACCTTGACTTCAACCTGGACAAGTGTTTGTTCCTCTTTATTGCCGGAAGGTATGAGTTCTCCAACAAAGGAGCTGACCTCTTCTTGGAAGCTTTAGCCAGACTCAACTATCTACTGAGAGTAAGTGTGTGTTGTGTAGTTGTGTTAACAGATGCACACATGTATTCAAGAGTTTATGTGTGTGTGTGTGTGTGTGTGTGTGTGTGTGTGGGAGAAGGACAAGGGTGAATCTTAGGTGATCAATTAGTCCCCCTGCCTGTTGCTCAGTCCACAGGGACTCGGGTTGGGAACCGAGGGTTGCTGGTTCAAGTCACCATCCAGATCAAATACAGAGCATGGACTGGTAGCTGGAGAAGTGTCAGTTTGCATCTTGGGGGCTGCCAAAGTGCCCTTGAGGAAGGCACTTAACCCCCAACTGCTCAGGGTGCCTGTCCATGGGCAGAACCCTTGCTCTGACATCTCTCCATTTAATGCATGTATAGGTCCTGTTTCGGCATGTGTGTATTTCGGGCTGGCATTCGGCTGTATTTCACACAACGGGGGGTGGGGGGGGGGAATTGAATTTGAATCTTCTTCTTCCCTTTCATTGTTACCTCCGCCAAGTAGGTCATGTTTTCAGTTCAGTTGGTTTGTATGCCTGATTGTCAGCAGGATTACAGAATAACTACCAGTCCAATTTTCATGAAACTTGGTGGAAGAGTGTAGCATGGGCCAAGGAAGAACGCATTATATTTTGGAGCAGATAGAAATCATGGGAAGGATACACAAAGTACTTCCTTTTTATCAGACAATGCAAGATAGGGCATTTGGCCTTGGTGGAATAAATGCCATACATCTCAAAATCCAACAGATGGTGAAACATAGCCAGAAATGCTGAGATATTGACCTTAAAGTTTACACTTGTGGATTTCAACCAGGTGTCATTCTGATCTTCTGTCAACTAGTTCTAATAGTTTTGGAAATATATCCAGACATAGTGATCATGCTTGCAGATTTGCATATCACAGAAGACTGGACCGTTGGCCTTGGTGCATGTCTGCGCTCTCTGAGTGCCCTTCTAATTGTAGTTGGTTTTGTATTGTTATTGCTTTTACTGTTTGTCTCACTGCCTTTATTACCACCTTTGAGTAACTTTCTTAAATATAATATACAAATTGAATGTAAAAATTATTTTGAAAAAATTTAACCTCATATTCCCGTATGGTCTGCCTGTTTCAGGTCAATCACAGCGACGTAACCGTCATTGCATTCTTCATCATGCCAGCTCGGACAAACAACTTCAACGTTGAGACCTTGAAGGGCCAAGCAGTCAGGAAACAGCTCTGGTGAGGTTTCATCTCATGTTAAACAAGGAGATAAGGTATCTAACTAAAAGTGTACATTGTGAGCCAGACAGCCAGTGATATACTCATCCATATTTGACCTCAACTTGGAAACATGTTTGTAGTTGTCTGATTAATACACTTCTATCTTCTCTTTTTTTTGTCCCTGACAGGGATACTGCTCAGACTGTGAAGGAACGTTTTGGAAAGAAACTTTATGAGTCACTTTTAGTGTAAGTTTACCACTTTTAGTCTACTTCATTTAGCATGTAAGATGTGGAATGACCTGTTTTATAACACCATCAAGTAAAAAGTATGAAGATATTTAGAAACAACCCACTAAATATCAAAAGCAGGACTGTTTGTTATTTATCTGAAGAAGGGGGTGGCTTGGGTGTGACTTAGACTGACTGGGGGATAATGCATGACCCTCCCTCCACCATAAATAACCTCATTTTGTCATATCCACACCAAATGTAGTTATTGGAGCCAATGCAGTGAACAAACAGAATAGAGGGAGAGTTATCACAAAACAAACAGCTAATTTCTTAGTCAGCTGTGTGTGCACTTTGGCAGATTATGGGTGCATGATTGCCATCCTGCCTATCACACAAAGCCAACAAAATTTAATAAGCCCACAGATCAAACACACACACACACACACATCACAGAGCGCACATAGCCAGCATTACAGACACATGCGGCTGGTTTCCCATATACACTGTAATATACACAACAAAGTCTGCAGCAGCCAGAGTAATATCAGTAACTTGGCAGGGCGGCTGTTTGGCTAGCCTTTGACAATCAACAGTTACTTGAGAAAACAAAATCCTGGAATTGAAAAAAGTCATGATACTTCAAAATAGATGGAGTTCAGGGATCACCTTAAGGCAGTGGTTACCAACTGGTCCAGCCACAGGATTCAGATTTCTCCTTTCCAGGTCGACACAGTTTAATACATTCAGTGTCATACTTGCGTTTGGCCATGTCAGAGAGCTAGTTTGCTGTCTCTGTCAAGTAGCTGTCTGTTAGTCACTCTACAGCAGGAAGCGTAACTACAAAGTTAAACTCCTGCACCAGAAATGCACCACTGTATTTAAAAATAAAGTGTCCAATAGGCGGTTTACATGAGGCGTTACATCCAAGGGGTAGGTGAGGTTAACATGGGGGTGGGAGATACCAAGCTTAGTAGTTCTGTTACTATACAGCAGTAATTCTTACTAATAAATCTTTAGTTGTAGTCATTTTCCAAGTTTCCTTTAAGTCTAAAACAAAGTGCTTTCATCAGCGGGCAGCTGCCAGATGTGTCAAAGATGTTGGACAAAGAGGACTTCACCATAATGAAGCGTGCCATCTTCGCGACTCAGAGACAATGCCAGCCTCCAATCTGCACCCATAACATGCTGGAGGACAGCAGCGATCCAATCCTCAACTGTGTCCGCCGTATCGGCCTTTTCAACAGCTCCGCTGACCGCGTCAAGGTATGTCAAACAGTTTGCTCTGGCAGTTACTCAAATATCTGGCGCTGATACTGAACAGCTTCTCCCTTCTTTAGATTATCTTCCATCCAGAGTTCCTTTCGTCCACATCTCCTCTACTTCCGATGGATTATGAGGAGTTTGTAAGAGGCTGTCACCTTGGCGTCTTTCCCTCTTACTATGAGCCTTGGGGCTACACTCCAGGTACGACTAGCGCGTGCTGACAAGGTGTATTTATGTCTGTTGATATATTATATACTTACTTTACTTTTTCTGTTACTGTCAGCTGAGTGCACAGTCATGGGAATTCCATCAATCTCAACTAACCTGTCAGGATTTGGCTGCTTCATGGAGGAACACATAGCAGACCCCTCAGCTTATGGTGTGTTTCTCATACTTTATCTGTTAAATTCTCAAAAGTTTGACTTTTAAAAGATGTGAAGGGATAACTGATGCTGTCTTTCACATCACTATGTTTGTTTTTGCAGGTATTTACATCCTGGACCGGCGATATCGGGGGGTCGACGAGTCTTGTAACCAGCTCACGTCCTTCCTGTTTCAGTTCTGCAAGCAGAGCCGGCGCCAGCGGATCATCCAGAGGAACCGCACTGAGCGTCTGAGCGAACTCTTGGACTGGAGATACCTCGGCAGGGTAAGATTCCAAATCCCAAGGACTCATACTGTTCATGTGACTTCTTCAAGATGAATTAAGGTTGTTGTTTTTTCTTGTTTTCTGCTCTAGTATTATATATCTGCCCGTCATATGGCCCTGGCTAAAGCGTTCCCTGACACCTACATGTATGAACTTCATGAGCCCACATCAGTAAGTGAACTTGTGTGTCTTTGGCTGGGAAATGTGTCAAGCTTTCATTGTTTATTGTTATCTCATGTTATATATGCATTCAGGCCCAATCCCAATACACCCCTTGCCCCTACCACTTAACTCTTACTCCTCTGTTTCGGGGGTTCATGTCTACAGGTAGGGTGTCCCGATTCTAGCCCTCCAAACGTAGGCTTTTCCAGAGGCACCCTTCAGATTGAGTGTTATGAGAAATCATTGAGAAGATGGCTGTATGAGCAACAAAAGACAAGTCACAAGTATATTTTTTCATTAATAAAGATTTATAAATTATGATAACCATGGTATTATCTTAGTTGAATGTTGAATGTTGAATCAGAATTTCTAAGTTCCCAGTTGAAAATATCAACTGGAATGCCCCCGAAAGTTGGATTTACGTCTCAGAAAGTCAGAGGAACCTCACCAACCCCAGCTTAAAAATCAAATATGGCTCCTCCACGTATCAACAGTACTGAAAGCTGTAGTATTATACTGTTTATTAGCACTTCTGTCATTGTGTGTCATTAAAACAGTTGAACACACATTACTGTCCAACTTCTGTTTGTGAACATGTTACTACTGTGTTTGGATGTGCAGAATACAGCATAATGCATTCATATCAGCTGGCATTGCTAACTGTGGCTGACCTGGCTTGAACTGGTATTACTAACAACATCTAAGTTTTCCAACATACGGTACTGTAATGCGATCAACTCGACATCATCCCCAGCTCCAACGTCTGAGGTAAATGGAATTCAGCATAAGGATATATTGTTATTGCTGATTGGTGCATGACTGTGCCACATTTTGACATATTTCCGTGTTCCATTCCCCCCTTTTGATGGCATATAATGAGTTGCTAATTTTAGCCCATAGAGCAGTGCTGGTGGCTGGTAATGAAGCAGTGTTCATTTTTATTTAATGACTTGCTTGATTGATCGATTGCATGAAACTTAGGTGGTATACAAATAGCGAGGTTCCTGACATGGCAGAAGACAAGTCCGGCATTACTGGACGCATCTTTTTACGCAAACATCAGCACCAAAGACTACTGATGATGATCAGGGTCTTGAAGGGTTGTCCCATTTCATAGGGGAAGATTTCAACCCGACCCTTTGTAACTCTATTCCAAGGGGCAAGGTGGCACTCAAAAACAAGGCGAAGGGATAAAAACAAGAAATAGTATTAGGCCTAAGTCTTTACACTTCCACCCACTGATTGTGATTCTAATGCCTTTTCTCTTCCTCAGACCTCAGGTTTCCGTTACCCGCGACCAGCCTCTGTGCCACCATCTCCAGCTCTGTCCCGCCACTCCTCCCCTCGCCACAGCGAGGCTGAGGACAACGATGAGGACGAACGTTACGATGAGGATCTGGAGGCAGAGAAGGACCGGGTGAACATCCGCCAGCCCTACGTCATGCCATTGAAAAACAAGTCCACTGCAGCTCTGGGGGCCAATGGAAACAGCGAAGGTGTCACAAGCGACAAAAACTGAGACACACACACACACACAGTAAATGCTACACCTCACTATTGAAACTCTATCTGTGGCAATTGTTAAAGTCATCCATGTACTTTATAAATGAATCCAGTTGTGTGATTGCGAGTGATAAATTTAATATCAGCTTGTTGTGAAAAACTGCATCACTGTCGGTGTCTTCTCGACCTGTTCATACCTCAAAATTTTTAGAAAAAATCTGTCCGTTGGATATGTTTTGGTATTTTTTTCAGTTACACCAGCAATGCAACCAGTGATTTGCTTTGTGGAGTAAATGCAGCAGCTAGAAAGGGCTAACAGCTCGTCACGGAAAACAAATCAGGATTGCTGGATTTTGTAGTGTACTAACACTGGATAACATATTGTAGGTCTGAAGCCTTGAAACAATAATAGAGGGTTATTTTGAGTCTCTGGAGGGTTTTTTATACTTGATTCAAAGGTGGGTCCGAGCAGGGAAAAGAACACAATCCTCATTTTTACCAGATAATCATCTTCACACATTCAAAGCAATTTCCTGGTTTAAAAAAGGTTCTGTTGCTGTGAATACCCACAAAGAGCACCCGTTCTGTTTACTTGTTTTTGGCTTAAAAGCGTGGTGATGATACTGTGCTTTAAAATCCACCTTGTAGCATCTTTTTCTTTCTTTTAAATGCCTTGTTTACTACAAAACTTCCCAGAATGGAAGTAAAATGTAGAACACGCACACATTCACATCAAGAAAATTGCATCAGAAAACTAAAAAACTGATGTCATTTTGAGAATGTTTAGTGTGTGTGTTTTCATTTTCTTTCCACGCCTTACTGTATTGCAGCCTTTCAGTGACGATCGCTGTTGAACAACCTCACACTCCTCTTTGTCTGTCTGTGTGTGTGCTTATGTTGATTATTCCTGTAACAAATATTTATTTGTGAAGGGAAAAGAGCTTTGACCGAAAGATTAAAAAAAAGGGACAATGTCTTGAGATGGCAACCATGTTTGCAGGTGAAGGATAGAAGAGAGCTAGAGTGTGTCTTTACTATTTGTAATGGAAGAAGGAAAATGGTTCAATGAGGCGCATACTCACACTCCCTGTAAGAGTTTTATCATTTGTTACAATCTTGCACCAGATGAACTAATAATAAAGTTTAA